TTTTTTCTACTGAGTGCATCGGCTATCACGTTGTCCTTACCCGGATGGTACAAGATGTCACAATTATAGTCTTTAAGAAGTTCTATCCACCTTCTCTAACGTATGTTGAGATCCTTCTAAGTGAATATGTGTTTTAAACTCTTGTGATCGGTATAGATCTGAAAGGTCTCTCTATATAAATAATGGCGCTAAGTCTTCAAGGCGTGTATGATTGTGGCAAGCTCTAAGTCATGAGTGAGATAATTTTTCTCATGACTCTTTAATTGTCTGGACCCATAGACTATGACTTTTCCATGCTGCATTAGAACACAACCTAGGCCTAGATAGGAGGCATCACTGTGAACTGTATATCCCCCCGATCCACTCGGTTATAAGGTCAGCACAAGTGCAGTAGTTAGCTACTTCTTTAGTTCTGAAAAATTTCTTTCACAGTTCTCATTCCACTTAAACTTGGCATTCTTCTTTGTAAGTCGGGTTAGGGGAGCCGCTAGACTATAAAATCCTTCAACAAACCTGCGATAATAGCCCACCATTTCCAGAAAGCTATGGATTTCTTTAACTGATGTCAACTTCTCCCAGCCGAGTATTGCTCAACCTTTTCAGGATTCACTGATACTCCATCCTTTGATATGATGTATTCTATGAAGGAGGTCTGTTCAAGCCAGAATCCATACTTACTCAACTTTGCATACAACTTCTTTCTTCTGAGAACCTGCAAAACCTGAGCTAGATGGTGAGCATGTTCCTCTCTGTTTTTTGAGTAGACCAGGATGTCATTGATGAACACGATAAAAAAATTGATCCAAGAATTGTCTAAAAACCCTGTTCATTAGATCCATGAAGATGGCTGGGGCATTGGTTAGCCCAAATGGTATGACCAGGAACTCATAGTATCCGTACCTGGTTCGAAAAACCGTATTGAGATTGTATTCTGTCCTTATTTTCACCTGATGGTAACCTGATCGCAGGTCTATATTGGAGAAGACCTGCGCACCCTACAACTGATCGAAGAGGTCATCAATAATGGGAAGGAGATACTTGTTCTTGATTGTGATCTTGTTCAATCATCTGTAATCAATACATAGTCTCAGTGTTCCATCTCTCTTTCTGGCAAAAGTGACTCTAGCACCCCAAGGAGACACACTATGTCTGATAAAACTACTATATTGCAATTCAATAATTTGTTTCCTTAGCTCCTTCATCTTAAAGCAGCTCATGCAGTAAGGAACAACCGAAATAGGTTGGGTGTCTAGCTGTAGACCTATGGTGAACTCGACTTCCCTGTCCACTGGCAGTCTGGAAAATTCATCTGAAAACACATCTGGGAGGTCTTGGGCTACTAGGGTCTCTTGGATATAAATTTCTCTATTATGTTTTCCTAGTTAGAGGAAACAATCGAGAAAAAGGATTATGTAGTAAGGAAATACAATGAGGGGATAATATTCAAAACTTTTATTGGCTTGTAAATGACTCTTCGTTAAGAGGCTTAAATATAATTTTTCTTGTGGGAATAATCCCAGTGGCATGATATGTCGTTAACCAGTTTATCCTTGAAAATACAACTGGGTCCCCAATTCCAACCTCTATCAAGCCTATCATGGTTGAAACTAAGTCTCGGGGAAGAGGGGCTAGATTGTGCTAGGGGTAGACCGGATGGCCCTGTGGTGGTAATGGATGACACGGAAGAGGTACCGGATTATACTGTGGTGGTGCTGGGTGATGCAGTTGGGGCACTGGACCATATTGTGAGATGTCGGATGATATGCCAGAGACGTAGGGTTGCATCGAGCTAGTATTAGATCCTCTCGAAACGACCTGTCTCGGGCTGCCCTATCCCATAAGAGGCTTCATCACCTCGTGTCTCCGTACATTATGTTTCACAAAGAATAGTTGAGTGATAATTTATTATTTTCGGTGTTTCCTAGGGGTTTTGTGTGAGGGACGGCTCAGATTGAATTTTACTCTTTGCTCAGAATTTGATTCTAAACCAACATATGGCCAAATCGGAGTGAAAACATAAGCCAATTGGCCGAAAAACGCTGCCGAAGCTCAGCGGCACCGCCGTGGGGTGTCTCAATTTTTACCTCCGATGAGACCCTTTTCGATTCCCGTTCGATGTGATTTTTTCACCGTTGTAATAACTGTTTCCTCCTCCAAAGGTTGACCGGAGCAAAACACCCAACCGCGATATGAGCCGGAGGAGCTGCCACATTGGAGAGCCCCACCATCGGTAAGTTTTGGTTTTCTGTGTTTTTTCGGCCCACCGAGGACCCTAAGTGTGTTTTCTTACAGGAACCGATGCAAGTTTGGCTGAATTCGGCCAAAACGACTGAAAACAGCCAATCTGAGGCAGATCACCGCCGCGAGCGGCGGCAGCGTCGCTGGAGCACGGCGTAGCCGCCATGCCGGAATTCTGAAATTGGCCGAGCAGGCCCTGGGTCTGATTTTTGGGTTATTTGGGACATGTGTAGGTACCATAAGTGCGTTTCAGTTCCTGAAAAAAAATTCAGGGAACCTAGGGACCGCTCGTATACTCAGTGAAAATCTAGTTTTCGACATCAAATCAAGTAAGAACCTCTCACGCTAGTTCCTATCATGGAATTGAAGTTTGAATAAATGATAATATTATATTTTGTACAAATTAAATAGATATGCATAATTAATTATGGTTGCTAATGGAGCCCGAATCGGACACTTCTCTGTCGATTTCTGTTTGATTTATTTTGCAGTTTAAATACATGATGGTATCTGGTTTATCTATTATATGGTTTTAAATGCATGTATCAATGCTTACTTCACTACTGTTTGATTTTGGAAATCTAAGATATGCTTGCTTTGTTGGATGCATGTTACTTGTTTATGTATTTATGTTTGAGTTGGTAACGGAGACTAAGAACAAATAGGAATGGATGTGATTTGATAAATGGATAAGATAACAATCTTACTAGATATCCTGAGAGATGGTGGACGGACCGGATTCATAGGAACCCTACGTGAACGTCGTCTTATACCGGACGGAGTATGGAGATTTGTTCATTTGGCACTCATACCGGACGAGGTATGGGGATGACTCGCTTCACCCTCATATCGGACGGAGTATTGAGGTTTATTATTTTGGTGCTCATACCGGACGGGGTATGGAGACGATCCTGTAATTAAGATTATTAAGGAAAATGGTTCACGTGTAGCGGAGACCCCTATGGATCCCCACGGATACTAGTATGCTGGTAAAAACGAGAAACTGTGATAATCAATTATTGTTAATGAATATGGGCTTATGATGTGTTTTATATTACTGATTATGCATGAAATTATGATCTGTATGATGTTATTGTCTTTATAGGTTCTTTTTACAGGTTCTCCAAGGGTAAGAAAAATGGTAAGTGGTTTTAATTTAAATAATTGTATTGGTTTAAAATTTGTACTCCATTAGTTGTTTTCGGTTTTCTACCAACTTTTGCTTCTGTGACGGTGATATAGTGTGATGTCCTTATTGGGCTAGTATACCTCATTCCTTATTTAATTATTTCAAATTAGGAGGACCTGGTTCCCGAACCCGATCCACAAGAAAATAGCGAGTAGATGCTAGATACTTTATAGTTTCTTTTATTTTTTCTATTTTTCGTATTTTCTTTAGAGAACTTATTCCATGATATTGTTTAGTACTTTTAAGTTATTATGTAATGGATATTAACTTTAATATTTTATTTCGCTTCCGCACTCAGATTATTATATATATTTTCTTTTAAAATTCCGGGGCCGTTAATATACTTTTTCTCTACATGACAATACATTCATGCATACATTTGTAGCGTCTTGAAATTAACAAACACAAAATTATATATATATATATATAATGTATTATATGTTATAGACAATAAATTACAGTAGCAAAAAATATTGATTATTTTCATACTTGATATAGATACATGTACAACATGCATGTCAATCTAATTTAGTTATTTTTTTTATTTAATATGACTCAATAATTATAGATGTATTTAATATGTTATATGTAATATCTTTAACTAAAAATATTTAATTATAATAACAAAATTTTTGTAATTAATAATATTAGATTTTGATCAGAATATTCTATGCCCATACTAATTTTATAAAAATTTTATAATTATGTAAAAATATTATAAATATTATTTTACATAAACACAAGTTTTATAAAACTAAAATAATTTGTAATAGATATAAAGATATAAATTTTTGTGGTGAAAAATTTACATGATGAATAAATAATTTTCATAAATTTATATAGTACATAATTTCAGAGTATGTAATTAACTAAAAATTCAAATGTGTAACTATTATATATATATATATATATTTATGTTAAACTAAAAATTAAATTCTATTTTTATATTTCAAAAGTTATTAAATAAATATTATTTTTTATTTTAGTTTATTATATATTATTACTTTAACTGAAAATTTCTAAATACTTATTATATATTAATTATATACTGATCGTATTAAATTTATTCAGTATTTAAAATAAAAAAATATTTTAAAAGTTTATATATTAGCAACAATAACTTGTTAAGACTATTTAATTAAAATGATAAAAAAAAATTCAATTAAATTAGGATCAAATTATATAAATAGTTAAATTTTATTTGTAGCCAATTAAAAATGAAATTTATATTAAAGTATATTTATTAGCATATTAATTTATTATCATATTTTACAATCATTTAAGATATTAAAATATTATAAAAAATTAAAAAATCATGCAACAAATCTTGATTTCCCTTATGTACATATGTATAAGATTTTAATTATATGAGATAGTATATGCTTAAATTTTATAGTAATTAATATATATTATATATTTAATTATAATATACTTAATAATAATTAAAATAAATTTTTAATGTTGATAATATATTAATTACATAAAATATCGTATATTCAAAATTATTTTCATCCAAAATAATCCAAAGTCAACCTGCAGCCAAACGCTCCGACTTCTTACCGTATTTCCATGTTTACCCTCATGAGAAAGACAAATGACCTCGGTTCGATCCCGTCCCTCAACTCCCCGTCTCTCTGCTATTGATCCCAAGACGCCATTGACGATGGATTCCGGAGGTCAGCTCTCCGTCAAGACTGTTCTCTGAGAATCCTCAGAACCAGCGATTCGCGGGAACATGCTTTCTTTCTAATCAGGAAAGAGAAGAAAAAGAAATTGCTCTCATAGAAATGAGGTCGTCTTCGGATAGAATTAACGTAGCTGCGAGTGCTCAAAGAATCGATGTAGATAATCGAATTTCTCTTCGTTTCTATTACAGGATCGCCAATAATATTCTTAAGCAGGTTTGATTTACTTATTTTGCATCTAAAATTTCATAGCATGGTTTTTAGGTTGTAGGTTTTCTGGTCTTTGTACTTGTTCAAAGTTTAAACCTACTGAATTGAACTGTCTACGACTATGTCACCTTTCTTGCAATTGTGATGTTTTTGGCCTTCGTACCTGAATGTAGTATAGTTCTGTCTTCTGTGAAGCTAAACACGGTTGCTTCTATTCTGGGGGAAGTACTGGAGAAAGATAATACCATTTATCTTGATGTTGCTATTTGATACTAACCAATAAAAATTGCCCGCGGTCTTGTTCCCTTAGCTAATACTGATTTATGAACTGGACCTGTCGAACTTTGGTTGGTTACAGCATCAAATTGGGTGTGCCATGTTGTTCAAAATCCTTCTACAGAGGATTAATCCTGAGGTTTTATTTTTCAATTGATGGTTTAAACATTAAACTATCGATCAGTTTGTTTCTGGTTGGAGCATTTGAAAGAATCATGGAAGTTTCTGTTTCCAAGTGTACGCCGAAAATATTTGCTAGCACTTGGGACCATTTCCATAGGTTTGTCAAGTGAGAGATATTGATCTTTTTAAGTTGTATATTGATACTCTAAGCACAAACCTTAGCTTAACTAAGGGAGTTATTTGTGGCAAGATGTGACTGTTCTTGTCGGAGCTGCTTTGATGCCAGTTTTAGTGGTGTTTGAGAATGTCTTGATCAACTATAATTCCTGGGTTTGAGTTTAAAAGCTTCATAAGAATCATTTTGTAGAGTAATTAGTTTGAATAGTATAATTACTTGAAAATGCACTTCATCAAAAATATGTGTTCTCTGTATCCCTCCTTATGCTAAAGTCTTGTATTTCGCCTCTAGTCTTTGGCTTAAGCATATTGTCTAATGCAAAAGTCATATCGATGGACCATACTCCATGCAAGACCTGATATCATCATATATTTGAAAAATCATCTCTGTATTTTCTACATATTATTAATCTTTTAGTCATTTATGATCTTCCAACTAATCTTTTGCAGAAAAATTACCACTTATTATTGCTTCTTTTGCATCTTAAATTGTGCAGAACTACTTTATTTTTCATCACATGTGCTACAATACTTGTGTTTTGACAGTGTTGTGTGGATGTATTATTTTTATTTTATCTTTGGCTTTGTATGATATCCTTAGTAGTGTGGATATACTCCAAAGTAATTATACTCTTTCTTTTTTTATTTCTTATTCTACATTCCATCCTCAATCCTAACATACTGAATGTATGTAGGCTGACATATTTCGGGAAGAGAAAAATGTACCAGATCTATATATCATGCTCTTAAGGTTTTCAAGGTAACAAGAATTCATAATTCAATTCAACGTATAACTTAACAGATCTTATTTCAATTATCTTCTTATTTTGTTTACCTAGTATAGGATCTGAAACTACCTGGTTTTTTTTTGTGTCTTTTCTTGTTTGCTTCAGTTTGGTTGTTGAGACGATACCATGCCATCGAGATTATAGAACTTCATTACAAAGCAACAGAGATTCTTTGAGAAAGGTTATAACAGTTTCTTTTTTTTTTTTTGGGGGGGGGGGGGGGGGATGAGGGAGGAAAGGAAGGGTAAATCCATTTCATGGCTCAAAGTGTTGGTTCAATTTAATATAATTTTTCTTTTTATTCTTCCAAAAATTAAATTCTTTCTGAAAAAAAGATTAACATCAAATTCTGTAGAAATTACCGGATGTCTAAATGAGCTGGAGAAGTTGCAGCCAGTGGTTAAACAAAGGATCAATGAACTTAACACAAAACACACTTATCAAGCAAATGTACAGGTCAATCTTCACAAAAACAGTTCCTTGGAGTGGCCTCCTGTCCAAAGGCCAATCTCGAGTAACTACAGTGTGACAAAGGTATAGATGCTTCATTGCACCAGTTCTCTTATCTACTTACACAGGCTACAGACATGTGCGCTATATCATCTTTACCAATACTTTTTCCCTAGTCAGTTATTGTTCAATATCATTGATCGATGACTGTGGAAACCTATTTCTAATAGATTGTGTCATGTAAACCTGTTCATGGTAGATTGATCTCATCATACTATGACAACCTATTTATTTAAAAAAAATTACGGAAACCTATTCCTAGCAGATTGATCCCAGATTGCTTACACAAAATAGATTGATACACAAATTATAAGGAGTGCATGGAAGAAAAAATTCTACTTGGTGCTGTTGATATCTCTGTAAGATTTTGTTAAGTATTCCTTAGATTTTGTGCCTAGATTCGCTACTTTTTTGGTCCAGGCAGTGACACCAGTGGCAAATGGCTATCAAGTTTTAGCAAGTCAGAAATTCACCCATGCCAAGCCCATTGAAGGGCAATTTCGCAGAATGTAAGGTTTTTTATCTCCTTGATTATTCTGCATTGAGTACTGCTCTTAGTTCAAAAGGTGAAGTGGCACTATTTTGTGCATATTGCATTTTCCTTTCACCTAGATTTTGGAGTTGTTTGCTGCAGGCATTTCTCATTGTGTTTAAGCAATTACCTACTGCGCCTATGTTTGAAATTTAATCATACTCGAAAGTTCTAATTGGTGTTGAAAAATCAATTATTTTTAATTTAAGTGCCCTCTTATCTAAAAGAAAATAATTTAAATGCCCAGTTATAATATGAGCGTTGATGATAAACTAACAGATCTCTTAATGCATTGGTTACATATCCAAATCTCTGGAAACAATTAACAGGTATCTGATATTTGTTTACACACAGGAAATGGTTACAATTATAAATGGTGGTAATGTTGATGATGATTTGTTAATATTACTTTTGTAGTAAATGGGCTTTTACTAAATAATTTCGTGGTAAGCTGGTGTTACCTATCTAACAGGAATAAACAATTATTAAATTATCTGGCTTTCCATTCAGCCAAATGATTGAGAATCTTTTGTTTCCTGAAAACTTAGATCAGTAAAAGCTACATGGAAACTTGATTTTCCAATTGTCCTCCAAATCCATGTAAGAATCCTTTGAGCAAAAGCTATGTGGAAATATTATGCTGCATAATTTGTGCTTTTCTTTGCATATTGGGGTTTAAACATGAAATATTTTCATTTTTATCTTTTTCCTTAAGTTTTTTCAGTTATACCAGCCAAAATTCACTTAATCTCTTTTTTTTTTTCCATTTATTGGAGAGGTTGTAATTTGTTGGAAATATCTTTTTCTTGTTCTATCTGAGGTTTCTTTATGTTTCTCTCTTTCGGATTAAGAATTAATTTCTTTGAGCATGTAAAAATGTTGGCTTGTTTTTATGAATTTATTGGTTCCGGCTTGTTTTTATGAATTTATTGGTTCCGGCTTGTTTTTATGAATTTATTGGTTCCATTAGTACCTTTACCCTTTTATCTTTTGTCTTTCTGCTTCTCTAGACAAATAAACTTGCCGCGTCCGAATCAGGAAACTCTCCACAGACATTCTATTTTAGGTCCGAATGGACTTGGTGGGCAGTGGCAACTGCCTAAGATTGATAAAAGGGTACGATTGCGTCTATCTCTTCATCAGGCTGTTTACACAGAAAGCAAGCTGACATTTATTATCTCAATGCAGGTTGAATATCCAAGTAATATCGATCTGTCTCCAGTAGAAATCCCAAGGTTAGACTACTAACTGGTTTTAGAAGTACTTCTTCCCAGTGCATTTTGAGTTAAATTCAGTCTAGGTACTGGCTGATGTATCATGAAAAACTTTTGAGGGGAATCCTTTTGCCAGGATGCTGTTATGTTTGCTTTTATATTTATGAAGTTGAAAAGCTTACTGCTCATTCATTTTGTCTGGTGATTTGTGTGGGAAAGCAGTCTTTTTCCGTCCATAGAAAATGGACATATGAAGAAAGATCACAACAATGCAGAACTGGAAATATCAACAGTTGAGTCTAGTCTTAGCATCAACAGTAACGGGCCAAAGTGTCATGCTGAGGAACCTTGCTCTATGATTTCCTTTGAAGAATCAGACACCCTTGTTCATACTGATATCATCAGACAACCTTCGCCTCCACCTGTTCTTGCAGAAGTACAAGATTTGATTCCTGACATGTCTCCCCAAGCTACTGACACTGAATGTAGACTGGAGAATTCATTTCCAGATAATATTCTTCGTTCTGAAGCTCCCCTACAACTCCACATTGTAAGTTTCTCTACATGTTGGGGTACTTATTTGTTTTGCAATGGTATTATCTATAAGTTAGTCGCAGTGCTCGATATTGCCGTGGGTTTTTTTCCTTTGATATTTTATTTCATTTGCAGTCAACTACAATGATGCAGAACTTCATGAAGCTTGCCAAGTCAAATACTGACAAAAATCTGGAAACTTGTGGTGTGCTTGCTGGTTCACTTGTAAGTGCTAATAGAAATACAGAAATTAGTTAATACATTGGAAATATTTGTTTTCAACATTATGAATCACTACAGATTCACATACTTCTTTTTTGCAGAAAAATAGAAAGTTTTATGTTACAGCTCTCATTATCCCGAAGCAGGAATCAACATCTGACTCGGTATTTTGGTTTCATTATAATTGGCACCATCTAGTTCATATTCACTGCTTGGTATTTTCAACTCTTTTAAATTAAAAACTCTACTTCATACTTTATTTTCAGTGTCAGACGACAAACGAAGAGGAGATATTTGAAGTGCAGGATAAGCAATCTCTTTTCCCCCTTGGGTGGATTCATGTGAGTATTTGGTATGGGCACTGAATGTTAATTATTTTAACTTTTTGCTGAAGTGGATCAGTATAGAGTTCTCCTATTGCCCTGTTTCTATTTTTTAATTACTAGGAAAACAATATTTGCATGCATGTCTAATGATTTGAATTCAAACTTGACTGCCAAATGTTTTGATCTGCTTAGATCAGTTATGCTTGCACTTCTTCTGGTTAGACTCATTGCATTGCTTGTGTTCTTGTTATCTTCGTCTCAAGCATGCAATTCTTTCTGGCTATTTAGTTCAATTTCCACAGCTTCCTACTGCTCTAGTTAGAGTCCAGTTAATTGCATATTTTTTATGTTCATCAAGTGCAGAGAATGAGTATATTATTATATCTTGATTGATTGCTTAGATCAGTTACTTCTGCTTTTCTTATGGTTAGGTATATTGCAGCACTTTTGTTCTTGTTACATTCATCTCAAGCTAACCATTCTCTTTAACTATTAGCACAATCTCCATAACTTACTGTCGTTCTAGTTACAGTCCTGCTTGGTGCATATTTTTCTAATGTTCAAAAGTGCAGAAGATATGAATAGTATTTTATTTAATTAATTGCTCACCATTGTGTACTTTTTCAGACGCATCCTACACAGTCTTGCTTCATGTCGTCTATTGATCTTCATACCCACTATTCATATCAGGTGTGTAAGCCTTTATTCATTATTGGAAATCCTATGTTTGTTTCAGATGATCTTTTGTAAGTGAACCCTTAAAATTCTTGGTTGCCATTTCATTCTTGATTTATTCTGCTTGATGACTGCTGATCTGTTGATTGAACTGGAATTTTTGGTTACTGTAACAGTTAATATCAATTAGTAAATGTTGTTTGTACACTGTTGTAAGGAAGCCTATGAAAGTTTATTATAGGAAGAAGGGTAAAAGTGTAAATAGGTGCAAGTAAAGTGAGCAATTCTCTATTTTAGTTTTAGCATAGTTTTTGGCCTAATTCTGTTGTAACATAAGGGCGCATCTAACTGAATGGCCGCCTCCTAGACCTATATAAATGGCTCAAGGTGGGAAGGAAGACAGATTCAATTTTGAATTCAAATTCCAAATTTAAATTCTATCTGGATTCCCTCTTTCCCTCTCTACCTTTCTCTCTCTCCCTCTCCTTCTCCCTTATCCCCTATTCTGCTTTAGTCATGAACCCATGAGCAAAGTTCCTGACTACTGTATGTTACTACGGATTTCTGTATAGACCCTTTTCATCCAAGAAATTGGAAAAAAAAAACAGACTATTCGAATTACAATTAACATTCAATGTCAAATTTCAACTTTCTTTGCCATATCGATCCATGCTGGATGTCACCATAAGTTTCTTCTATAACAAATTTGAATGACACTCTAATGTAAGTGTGGAAATAATTTATCCCCATTTTGCCAAGTAGACTATATAATTTGTATGAAAACGTCTTCTCTAGTAGGAAAACTCTCAGGCTATATTTGGTTCAATTTAGTGTTTATTCTTTTAGTATAACATACAATATCTTTGATATGTAAAATTGAATTATAAATTTTTCATGTTTGATTTGCAGTATTCAATTTCAGTCCTGCATTCATCCCTCAGAGAGAGATTTTTTATTCCTACTGGATTAGATAGCAAGTAGATCTACTTAACCTGAATTAGGAATGGAAATAAAATATTATTGTATTCCAGTCTTAATCCATTTTTACTGTATTCTTATTACAATTCTGCAAAATTAGTATTTTCTAACCAATTAGCCTTTTACGTGTTTTGTTTCTTTTCCTCTCTCTCTAATATCTCATAAAGTTTTAGTATAATCCCCTCAGATAATTGTATTTTTTTAGTGGAACCTAATTGTCCTTTGTTAGAAGAGGACCATAGGCATATATATACACATATATGTATATATTCTTTTGGTATTCTCTTTGTGGGTCACGTAAATGAGGGGTCATTTTCAGATTATGTTACCGGAAGCTGTGGCAATTGTCATGGCCCCAAGAGATACTTCGAGGTAAGAAACTTTCTTGTAAGATTATATGTATACTTCCAACTCAGTGCATATCTAATTCTTTGTTTTCTGCATGCAAACAGATCCCATGGCATTTTCCGGTTGACCACTCCGGGTGGCATGTCGGTCATAAGACATTGCCAGCAGCGTGGCTTTCACCCACATAATCAACCTCCAGATGGTGGCCCTATTTACAAGGCATGTACAGACGTATATATGAATCCCAATCTAAAATTTGATGTAATTGATCTTCGATAATTGTAGTTCCTATTGGGAAGGGTAAGGATTTTCTTCATTGCAATTATTCATTTACCATGCGTGTACGATTATTGTCTTGTCCCCATTGTATTGTTGGCCCCCTTAAAATCTAAAACATTGAAAGGAAAAAAAAAAGGAGGGGATACATGTGTTTTGTATATCTTCACTAGAATCATCGTGAGGATTAGGCTGAATAGCTTACCTCCATATATTGATACAGTTTGGAACCTGTTTGTTCTTTTGTCTCCGAGATTATCACATGTATAGGTTTTCTTAGTAATAACATAGAAGTTTTCGGTACCTTCAAAGTACCGTATTTCTCCATCTTAGCGGTTAGAGAGAATCAGATCCAATGAGTTCCGAGTGCTACTGACAGCTAGTTGAAGCAAAATTGTAGAGTATTTGGGTGTAACTCTTTTCCTAAATATTATGATATTTGAGTTCCAATAAAAGATTTATTTGAATCTTATTTTAAGTTTGATTTCAACCCGTTTAAAAGTTTGAGCGCAGTTTTTTTCAAAAAAAGCCAGATTTGACAAATTTAAATTTTAGTTTGAATAACTATGAATTGTGAATTTGAGAATAATTTTGGCTGAAATCTAATCCGACTTTAAGTTGAAGTAATTAAATAATATATTTGACATGTACCCTTATGATAAGTCCAACTTTCTTTAAAAAGAAGAAAAAAAAAAAAAAAAGGAAGGAAAAAACCTTGAAGTGAAACCTAAGGATTTCATTTCTATGCTTGAGGATGCAAATTGTGTGTTCTTCTTTTTAGTTGGGATGATATACACACAACTTTGTTGGTGGATGCTTTTGAATTGGTCTTTTCTTTTTTGGGTCTTTTCCCCATTTCACAGAACATTCTTTGAGATCATCAGCATTACAATCCTTTGAAAGCTATCCCGGTCCCTTTCTCCTTTTAAAACCAAAACTTGGAAAACACTTCTTCATCCATAAACCCCTCTTTTTGTTGATGAATGCTACTTCCACGTTCACTGAGACAAAAAGCATCCTCTGGTGTGCACCACGCCTCATACCATACACCATCATACATCCTTCATTGCATATCAAGATGATGATTATTAGAGAATGTTAATCTTATGTTTAAATGCTTTGAAGTATTATAGTTCTATCTTGTCGTAGTTTTTAGATTACCAACTAATAGGACTTGGAGCTACAGAAAAAAAAGAAAATATAACAACCCAAATCAAATCAAATTGATTGATTGATTGTTGATCACAAGTAACACAATTTGTGGGTGGAAGAGAATGTAGCCCGTGGGGTCTTGGTTTGATCCAGCATTATGGGCAAGAATTTTTCAAAGCTTAAATTGAATAAGATATTAATTAGAGAGACATTGGAATTTGAATTGGTGTCCCAAACATGAGGGGTCTTCCCTCCATCAATTTCTTGTCATGTTTCTCTCAACATTGAGATATCATTCTGTTCTATATAATATAGTATAGAACTCCATTTGACTCAATAAATTAGGATTTCTTTAAGCTCTCTCTCGAAGGTTTAAATAAAATTGTGTTCGAAAAATATGAAATTAACCCTTTAATTTTTTAATTCAACTGCTAAAAATAATAAACTCAGAAAAAAAAAGATAACGAAAATAATTAATGTACTTATATTATCACTGTTTTCTTTCTACAGTATTCGTATGTTTATTATTATTTATAAATAAAAATTACAAATTTTTTATAATTTATAAAAGATTGTATCCTTATCCTATTCCATTTAATATTTTATTATTTATAAATATAAATCATATCTCAATTATTATCTAGATGATGACAATTAAGCTTTCTTAATCAATGATAATGTCTTTTTTCTTTCTTTTTTAACTAGTGAAATGTTAAAATAATTATTGGGTTTGTACAGCACTTGTCATGTACTTCTGATTTTGTATTTGTCTCATAAGATATGATATATAAATTATTATAAATAGTAAGACAATACTTTTCAAATATAATTATCCCTGAAATATTGATTAATTTGTTTGTTTGTTTTTTTTTTTGGTTTGTTTGTTCAAAAACTTATTGTGAATTCAAATTCCGATAATTAAATATTTCTGAGATTAAAATCTCTTATTATGTCTCATCAAAACATATACCTTGTTACGTTTTAGGTAGAGTCAAAAGTCTACCATATAAAACAATCAGAAACATCACACATCCTCAACAAGAAGCAGAAACAGTAGAAGGAATCTGCAGTACTGGTCTGCAATACTGCTTCTTGAATTACATTATTCCTGTAACACCAGGACTTAGAAATTTGGTATGTGATAATTTAATATTAATAAAAATATATATTTAAAATAATTTATTTTTAATTTTTTATAAAATATTTATGAAAATTAAATTTGAATGCATTTTAAAATATTTTCAAAAATTAAAATTACAATAAAAATAAAAGATGACTTATTTGAAAAGATATATAGAAAACTAAGGTAAAAATATAATTTTCAAAAGTCTGGCCACGTGGACATGTGTCCACGTGAGAGACAACGCGGATAATTTACGTGCCAGTGAATCCA